ATAAATACATGTGCCCCATTTCAAAATATTTCACTTACTACTTTTTAAATTATTTAAGTTTAACACCCTGTATCTTTTTACGAAGAGTCCTAGATACAAACTTTATACGAAACAACCCTTAAAATTCACCAAAGAATACGAGGTTTTATTTTTGGTCACCGTTTGTGTATCACCCTGTGGCAAACATCTAGTGTATCCGTTTTTTGCGTAAAATGATGAAAAACAAAATAATTACGAAATACATGTTACATATTTTAATCAAATTCTGGAAAGAAATAGAATAAAAAAAATAGGAAAAGACCCTATCACAGTTATGAGTGTTTTTATTCCGCTGTGGGACCATTCCAAAAAACTGTACACCTTCTTTGCATGTATTTACTTTAAATGTTTTTTATATTAAAACATATTTTCAACACCGTACTAAAATTAACATCTTATTTCACCTTGGAAAAATTATTTACAAAGACTTTCATGTTATCTGAGTACTAAATTATGCTTGCGACCCATGTATCTGGGACACATCTTCCTTTAAAAGTGCAACGGAAATTTTATAAATCGTACCTGGAGAAAGTGCAAGATAAGCTCGTGAATATAAAAATAACGAATCATCTTTCTTAATTATTTTAAAGATACATTAAACTATATACAGGGTGTGTCATAATTAATAGCGCAAAGTGAAACAGCTGTAAGTACACAATACTAGAAGCAAACAAGTCTAAGTAAACATGGAACCGCAAACGCACCGTTTTTGAGTTATAGGGATTAAAAAAAATATATTTTTTTCAGTTTTTTTGACGATAGGTATATCAGGAACCGTTTGAGATACATAACTCAAATTTTGTACACGTATTATCAGCAATAATAGCTACTTTTGACCGCTAATTCAAATTTTATTCATATGACAGTGACAGAGATTTTAGAATTGCGCGAGGTCCTTTTGTCCCTAATTTATACGACTCTGGGAAAATTGACATTTTTAAAGCATATTTTAAACCGCCAATGTTTTCCACACAAAAAGGGTCCTCATCTTCAAAAGCTCTAATGTGAACCGTTTTCAAGATAAATGACGTTTTATGATGGAAAACAGTTGTTGAAAATGTCCTCCTCATACGGTAATGCAGTCAGACTTTTTTGCTTCTAGTATCGTGTAGTTACAGCTGTTTCAATGTGCACTATTAATTATGACCAGGGCCCGAGAACTTATACTTGAAAAAATGGGGAAACTCTGGGAACCACGTGACTTGAGATGGATATACAAGTTGGGGAAAGAGTCTATAGATGTCGCCACAAAGATTTTGTAGAATAAATTTTGACAATTGCAATTATGAATCATTTCATGTCATTCTTGTTCATGTTTGTTGTTTATTGTTGGTTAGGTTTGGCGAGTGTTGGTGTGTGTTTTATTTGTGTTTTAAGTGTGTTTTATTAGATATTTCATTCACATTTATTTATATAACATAATAATGTCTGATCATCATATAATCACATTTTTTTATTAATATTAAAATGTTTTTTTGTTTTTTTTAATAAAAAATGTGATCAGAGGTAGGTAGTTTTTTTTATGGATATCAACACAACGAAAAATTTAAAGTTGCATAATAAATCTCTATTACAAGAATTAATCAAAGATTGGTTTAGTAAAATTATTTACTTGTAATATTTTTTTATTCACCGTGAAAGCTAATACAATATAGAAAGCACTGAAACTCTATAATCATTTTCACTCTTTTTTTTTTTCAAAATATATACTGAAATTTGAAATTTTTTCAACAAACATTTTAAAAAGTTACAGTATCAAAATTATTTCTTATTTTAAGTAGAAAGACTATTAGAGCATTTAAAAGTGTCTTTAATGCTTGAGTGATTTTAATGCTTTTTATCAAATGTACTTATTTTCTCATGGTGACAAAAAAAATTATCTACGTGTAAATTATTTTACAAAATCAATTTGTGAGTGATCTGTGTAGGATGAGATTTGTTATGTAATTTTAAATTTAGCGGCGGCAGAATACCTAAAACAAATATTGAGTAGGTAGGTATATAGTTATAGAGCGTACAACTACTTTTACTGGCTAGAGGTAATTTAACTCACTGTATTACCGATAATTCCTAGAAAAGGAAAGCAATAGAAGTTGGAGAAAGTGTCAACAGTTAGCGCTGTTAATAACCACGAAATCTGTTCAAGTTTCCTATCTATAGTATCATTTATCTAGGATTATGACACACCCTGCATGTATACGCATAAGTGATAGGAAATGTACATAATTTAAGTTTACACCTGTTATTTATTTTATTATTAAACTCATACCAACTGTTTTTGTTTTATGTTTAACTGACTGAAGAAATATTTCTAGTTGGTTCTATTATGAAATAACAATTTATTTTCTGTGTACCACATTGTATTATTTAGGGCATTTAGTCACTTCGAGAAAGAAAACGAAATAAAAGTCAACATATCCTACATTCGTAACTGTCAAGTAAAAAAAATAAACCACTTTCTCCATCACTTCTTACCTGTTGGTTACCAGTTTCCAACGCAACACCTACATATACATAATAAATTCCGTGTAAATGTGGTAGTTCAAGTCCAGATTCGTTGTCTTTCCACTTGAGGTCAGTGGGTCGGCTTTAATCATTTTATTTACTTACAATTAGCTAAAACTTGCAGTCAGTCGAATACCATGATTTCACTCTGAATATATTTAGTGATTACATTATAGAGACAACTTCTGTTCTTGAGAGTTTTATAATTTGAAGAATATCGCACATCTGTCTTGCCAACCTTTGAAAGCGAGACGATAGTGATTTTTTCTAACTTTTATTTCGCAACACGGACTGTTTGTTCCTGTAGGTACCTAACTAAACATCGTGATTGTATCATTTTCCATAAACCCCAAATTTTTTATACAAATCAGCTACAAATTCTAGAATGACACTAAAATGCACAAGTGCCACATAGTGTGGAACAAATGTTAATTAACAATTCACGTTGCAAAAAAAGTTTTTTATTTGTTTCTCTTCAATGTCTCCGTTGAATCGCATTCTAGGAAGAAAAGGCATAAGATCAATCTTATTTAATTACAAAAATAATTAATAAAAAATGCAAAAATCGATGTATTCTTAAAATTGTTGTTCATTTTCTAAAAATTAATCAAATCCCATGAAACTCCCGGAAAATACTCAATTCGTCATTTATATATTATAACTCATTCTTATGTTTTGATTATTGCAAATTGGGAAGTCACTAAACCATTTTTAGATTTATAAACCTTTTATTAAAATATTTAAACATAAAAGCAGTAACCGCAACAAAATATATTCATTCAAATATAATTTGTCTTCATTTGTTTTTACAGAAAATATAAAAGTCAAACTTTGCTAAACTAAACTTGATTTTACATTCAATTTACTTTGGTACTGATATCCGATTACTTATATTACCTACCAGAAATATTAGCCCAAGAAACTATTTTTCTTTGGGTTGATATAAAACCCACAAAATACTTTTTTCGTTAAAATATCTCATGAATTACGGTGTGGTCTACAAAAGCGATTCTTTTACATGAGAATAATTCAATTAAGTACTAAGTAAACGTTAAAAACTTATCAAATCGTTCAAGTGCCAAATCTAAATTGATGTGTTATTGTGTTGGATGGGCTCACATAAGCATCGCGTGTTAAAAAGTAGGCACTGTAAAGAGAAAGAGCGACAGTTAGGTACTCGTTAACTCTCTCTCTCTAATCGTTGAGAAAGGAGTTGCATTGGCGAATCACGTGCCTGTACGAGATCGAAACTATCTCTCACTCTCTTTCACGCGTCTACACTGTCGCCGTAAGCGTGCTTCTCCTTTATAGTATATGCTGTAAGGTCCTTATACAGCCACTGCTTTTATAAATTACGTTATCAGCCCTTAGCCTTAGATCTAAAAAATTATTAATTTATATTTAATATTTACTACATTTATGATAGTACTGTAAGAAGTTTAGAAAACAAATTGCTTCTTTTTGAATTTGAAGAATGCCTCTTTTTTAGACGTGTTGACCGCACTGCCATCTGGCCGCTGTTGGCCTAACTTCCAAAACTGTGCCTATACTTTTCTTTCTCTAATCTAGGTGTGGGCAATAGATAAGCGAAATTGCAAGCGCACCAAACGGCGAAAGCGGTAAGCTCCGAGACAAGGTAATTTTGACCTTGACTTGACGTTCGTGTTTATTACATATTCATTTGAACAACATTCGTTTTATTTCCCATTATTATTAGTAATTTTGTTATTAAACCGCGGTTATTTGTTATTTGACTTTTGTGTTATTTTATAGGTCTCAAATATTTCATAAATAAATTTTAATGCAAGTATTTATGTCTACCTTGTTTGTTTCTAGCATTACAATTTAATGTACATTATTTGAGGTTATAACTATAAAGTTATTCGTTGTGGAATACCTACATTTCCTATTTAAATGCCAACGAAAACTCTGTTGTATATCAGAAGGGGAGGCAGTTTTTAACACTGGTCATTTGGTACTATGTAGGAAAATTAGGCAATTTAATTTAGAAATTTAAATTTATTCATTGTTTACATTCATTGTGTGAAAAAAAATCTGGCAACGCTGCTCCTTACTAACAACCCTCTTGAAATTCAGGGAGTATTGTCTGTCGACAATATTTTGAAGATTTCTTCAATGGTTTGATGAAAACTTAATTCTGGATTTTTCTTGGACCATGAAAAACAACTAAACAATAATAGTTCGACAATTTTTTCTTTTTATCCATAACTGCTGAAGTTTTCCTCACAGTATTTTCTTAAAATAACAGTGTTCAAAAACCAAACACTAAACACAGTTTTAAATAAAATACAAAACGAAATGTCTGGTACACAAGAAATGTTTACTATTACCTTGTTTCGCTAGTATTACTTGTCACCGCTAGAGGGCGAGCTCAGCTGCATTCGCGGTCTCTGGTTTGTTTATATTTTAGAATAGTTTATAATTATATAAACATTATGCCCAGGAAGTGTAAAATTCCTGGATGCGTTAGTGGCTTGGAGAAAGATAGGAAGATTCGTAATTCTCTTAACATTAGGCAAGCGTCTTTATTTTCAGTGCCAAAAGTAAGTTATATTATAATTAAAAAAACAATAAGAAATCTAGCAAGAAAATGTGTACTACTTAAATCATTTTTTCATAATAAGTGGGTATTGGAAATTCCTTCCTTTTTTTTAGGACAATTCTTTGAGGTTGAAATGGTCAACCATCCTCGGAATAAATTTAAGTCCAACTAATTTTATTTGTGATTATCATTTTAAAGAGGAAGATATCGTGAAAGAAGTAAAACACAATTTTCCGGATGGTACCTCACAGATAATACCACGGGGAAAATGGACGTTGCTACCTGGTGCATTACCGATAAATTCTGAACCTAGACATTTTGAGACTGCGGTAAAGTCAAAACATTTGTCAAACAAAACAACAGACAATCCGTGTGATATATTAAGAAATTCTGAAAACCTATCAGCTACTACTAAAAGGTCAGTAAAATCACTACATGTAGATACTAGTGAAGAATTGCGAATAAAAAGAAAGAAAATCAGTAAAGAAAATAATATTTATATTCATCAGTGTCAGCTTATACAACCTACTGCATCAGATTATAGTACTGCAAAGTATTGTACACCACAAACAACCCAAGAAAACTGCAATGGTAATATTGTGGAAGTAATTGCAGAATCGGATGAAATTCCTTTACAAATTTTGAACGATAAGAAGGTTTGTTGCTAATCGAGGTTAATTGCGTTGTAATTTTTCTTATTAATACACCATTTACCTATTTCAGACGCAATATTCATTTGAGAATATACTCAGTTTCATAAAAATGCCTCCTGCTTGGTTATATATGCTTAACACGAAAGAACTAATATTTGTCCATGTAGATACCCTTACATTAACTGAGAAACTACGAGTATTTCTAACCGCGCCAGACATGTCAGTTTCGGTAAGAACGCAATATTAGTCGATAGTATCACTTGATAATAATGTTTATATTGCAGGTATTATTTAATAAGAGATATAAATATGACTTAAAAGAACGGATTACTTGTGACGATGATCTGTTAAATATTTTTGAACAGCTAAAAAATACACCAGCTTGTACTGGTACAGGGCTAAAACGAATGAGGTAAGAAGCCATAAATATATACTTACAGTATTCTTAAAATCTATCGATTTCTTTACGAGTGTCGATTAATTCTATGTTTAGTGCTTCTGTGAATTGCTGTGGGATAATTTTGGATGAAGAAAAATATCAACGCCAGCAGCGTAATCCACGATGCAAAGCATGCCGTGTTCTCCGTCATCGATTACAAAAACAAATTGCAAGGCAACATCATGCCGTTAATAAAACGTGTAATCCACGGAAAGAGTTGAAAAGTTTTAAGGTTAATTGCAAACGTTTGCAGAAAAAGGTGATCTATCAAAATATTTTCCAGTGAAATTTGATTTTTTTTTTAAATTAAATAAATAGCCGAGTTATAATTAGTTTTTTAAAATGCACTTTAATTGTTTTGTACGCCGCCGCTGTAATATTCATGTGTTACAAATACATGAATTGTTGGCAACCTACAGTGCTTGCTGAGGGGGAGATAGTGCAGGTCGTGGTAGCAATCACAGCAGGTAGGACGGAGCGTAGTCTAGTCACAAAGCAAGAAAAGAACAGATGCAAGCTCAGAATGTTGCGTATAAGGAAGAAGGACTGTTAATATGGTGCTGGAATCCCTGACTGATTTGAAAGCAGTCTACATTATTGATAACTTTCTCAAATTTCTAATTTCAGATTTTATTCATGGAAACTTTAGCTCAAAAAGTTATGAACCGATCGTTATGAACATTGAAAGTGTGTTTCTTTAAGAACTTATAATGAACCAATGAGATGATATCATAATTTTAAGGGCATTTTTTATTCAAAATAAGTAAAAAAAAAAATATATGAAAATCGATGCATTTTTTCAAACACCTGTCAAGACTTCAATTTTCACAATTTTTACCTACAATGTGGTGCATATTCTTAGGATACATGTTAAGAGGGCTCTCTTTATAGTAAATAGGCAACCAGCTATACATTTTTATAGATTTTATTACACAGCTTGTCTAAATATGAATCGATACACAAATAACAGACTTTCCTCCATTCTAACGCAGATTTTCTGTAATATGTAGATAGTTTGAAATTCAAATAAATTTTTGTCGTAAAGAAATTTGTAATTTACTATGCCGCTTGTTCAAAAGCGGCAAATTACAAATTTCTTTACAACAAAAAGTTATTTAAGTTCAAACTATCTACATTTTATAAAAAATCTGCGTTAGCATGGAGGAGAGTCTGTTATTTGTGTATTGATTCCTATTTAGACAAACTGTATAGTAAAATTTTAAAAATACAGCTCTCTTAATAATGCAGGAAAACAATCCATTTTGCTCTCACATCAAAATTGCGACCGCCACAGTTCCCGTGGACAACTAACTCAGATAAGAATCTGAATTGGTTTGTGATTACAATAAAGATAATTTTAACATTTGTCTCTTTAGTGGAAAATTTTAAATAAACGCCAATTCACTCTCCAGCTGACGTCATGCGCCAAGCGAACCGATTTTGGTTCACTCGAATATCATATCTTGTATTCTTTATATCATGGTATTAGAGCATGTACTATATGGAAGAAGCAACGCGTGTTAAAATTTAAAAAGTAAACTGTAGAGAGAAAGAGATGATTTGGGTACTCGTCCGCTCTTTCTCTAATCGTTGAGAAAGGAGTTGCGTTAGCCAATCACGTGCCTGTACGAGAGAAAGATAGGATCCAAACTATCTCTCACTCTCTGTAACAATAAAACTAACAGTAAACTGTAACTAACTTTCTCTGTCACTCATCTACACTGTTGCGATAAGCGTGTTTACTCCACGTAGTATATGCTCTAAGGTACAGGAGATGGGCACTGAACAATAATGATCGAAAATTTTGTTTTGTTTTTAATAAAACAGTGATAAATTGTGGCAAACGTAGTCACTTTTCTAACCTGAAACCTCTGTGAATATCTTGTCCTCCTTTTCTTCTCAACTTTCCTAACTCGCCGCGCCATTATTCCATGGCTAGAAATTGGCCTCAATGATTTGGGATCGAGGGGGATTATCCCTCTTTATCCTGCCTCATCTCGTGTAGGCCTGGACAGCCTTCGTAGGTGGGCCCCATCCGTCGTCTACCCCGACCGCAAATGCGGCCGGTGTAGGCGCTTTGTGGGACCTCCTTTTGTCCTGGCTGGGCCCCNTGGGATCGAGGGGGATTATCCCTCTTTATCCTGCCTCATCTCGTGTAGGCCTGGACAGCCTTCGTAGGTGGGCCCCATCCGTCGTCTACCCCGACCGCAAATGCGGCCGGTGTAGGCGCTTTGTGAGACCTCCTTTTGTCCTGGCTGGGCCCCGCCGGCTAGGGCCCTTTCTTCTGGATCTTTCCTAACTAATGGCATTTGTGCCAACCTCGTCAACAACATATAACGAGCGGGAAATTCAAATGTACAACAAAGGGCTTACAACTTGCTATGCGAGTTTTATTAAACCAACATAAAATGAGTGACAAAAAACAGCATTTTTTATTGAAGATCTTTATAAAAAATGAATATTATGCCAATTGTTGGAGATATGGAAAAGCTCGTACAAAGTAACATAATTTTATGCTTAGCAGCAGGCGCGGATCCAGGATGGGGTGATCGTTGCCTTCCAATTAGTCCAAAAAAAAAAAAAAAAATCAAACAATAAATTAATAGAATAAAAAATTTTCTGTTTAAGAACGTCTTTTTTGCAATGTTTCCTCCAATTTTTTCGTTGACTGCACGGTACAAAAGTACATGGGAGCAGAAATGGTAAAAAAAATTTAGTTAGTGAAATTTGGAATTTTGCCATTTTTAGATGCAATTTTTTTATAAAATGAAATTTAAAAAAATGGCGAAGCCCATTGTGTGTAGAATACAAAAAGCGGTTGCGCAACTTTCGAAAAATTAGTGTGTACCTGTGCCGCTTAGAAGGAACTTTGCTTTCTTGACTGCAAAACCTTTTTTTTTTTTAGTAAAATAAATGGAGATTAAAAAATTTATGTCTGTCAGTTTTCTTGATTGCATACTTTTTTTAAAACAAACTATACGAACACCCCCTTAAAGTTCATCTCTGGATTTGCCCCTGCTATTCCACCCAAAAAAATTTATTCTTTGAATTTGTAGCCTGACTGAAAAAATTCTTGAACTGTCATAGTTTTTTTACCGACATTTTCAAGAAAATAACTTAATTTTTTTTTGTGTGGATGTCATATTGAAAATATTTTTTTTTTGTAAACAAATTACACAATATTTATAATATATTGATTTTAAAACTTTTTAAAGTGCACCATTTATAAAGTTTTTTGAACTCCAATCGAAAAAAGTTAAATGAGAAAATTGTATCTATAAAAAAAAACAATGGATTTGTATTTTTAAATAGTGTTCAAAAAGTTTGGAAGCCCCCACGATCTCAGAAAATACTGCTCAAACAAAAAAATTATTAGGACAAAAGTTGCAGGGTTTCGAGTGAGCAATCCAATGGTGAACTTGACCAAGACCTTGACGGTTACTTAGAGGTCAACCATATACTTTTGATCCCGGTAATGGTAAGAGCAGAAAATTTTACGTTCGAATGTGACATTGACCTTCAAGGTCATTTAGAGGTCAAGTTGAAAATTCTAAATGGAAACATACGTTTGATCCCGGAAATGAAAAGAGCGAAGAATATTAGATCATTTATTAAAAATCGACTTGACCTGTAAACAACCTTGAAGGTCATGGTCAAGGTCATATCCGAACGTAAAAATTTCCATTTTTTCCATTTCCGGGGTCAAAAATATACGGTTCCATCTAAAATTTTCAGGTCGACTACTAAACGACCTTGAAGGTCATAGTCAAGGTCACATCCAGACTTAAAATTTTCCGCTCTTACCATTCCTGGGGTCAAAAGTATACGGTCCCATTTAAAATTTTCAACTTGACCTCTAAATAACCGTCAAGGTCGTGGTCAAGTTCACCATCGGATTGCTCACTCAAAACCCTGCAACTTTTGTTGTAATAATTTTTTTGTTTGAGCAGTATTTTCTGAGATAGAGAGGGGGTTCCAAACTTTTTCAACACCCTGTATATCGATTGCTATATTACGTTCCGAGATATTTCAAAAAAACCGTCAAAAATCGACTTTCCTTGTTTTTGTTGTATCTCTTGTAAATTAAGGTTTTGAAACATGTTAATTGCTGTAAATGTAGCCCTCAGCAAGCGTCTTTTTTTAAAATTAAAAAATGTTAAAAATTTTTCAAATTGTATCGATTTTTCGAAAAAAGGTCATCTTGCTGGACGAATAGTTGCAGAGAAACGAATCAGGGTTCACTTTTTTCCTTAAAGAGTTGTACTTTCATGGTAAAAAAGAGTGATAATGATTTTATTCATTTCAATTGTCCAAAAATGACTTCGAAAAAAGTAAAAATATTTTTAGTCGCTTTTTCTTGAAAATCTTTTTCAATTTTCATTTCTCGACAATGTCTGTTACAGGAATCGATTGCTGGCATTTTTACACGAATTAAAAAAAAAGTTGCTCTACGATCTTCTGGAGCCGAGACAATTTTTTTTCCAAAAGATTCCACAGGCTGCTATTTAAAGTCTACAGCGTCCATTCTTACAGAGATTGAAGTTGAAGACTTATATTTTCAATAAACAAATACTGTGGTTCATTTTAGCCACTTCTACATTTTTAATTGTGCGTCAAACCGAAGCATGCCGCGAGCTAACTGTAGCAGGCGCTTTTTAGCGAGATAAACCAAAATATGACGTTTACGACAGCCTCAAAAGCATGATTACCTTTGAAAAATGTAATTTTCCTTTAGTCTAAAATTCTGTCAACTCTTGTTAACATTTCAATAATTATTTAATAATTGTTTATGAAATAAAGTAAGTACAACGTTTTATGGTAATTATATCTTTTTGTTATAAACGTATTGCAAAATATTTATTTAATTATCGTACAGGAAGTTACGTGGTATAAAAATTTAATTTATTTTCACAGCTCACGGAAAAAACATGTTTTTTAGAATTTTTTCCCCTATATCACCATGTTTTTTGTTTGCGGTGGTATTTTTTGTAAATTTAACATTAGGCCGTGACAGATTGATTGGACTAATAGGTCTGGAGGTTCTGATAGCAGATCTACCCCCACAAAGCCTAGCCCGAGAACAACAAGGGCAACAAAGGCAATGGAAGTGCAATGTAAGTTCCTAAATGGCGATAATCAGGTACATTAGCCACGCCATAGCCCTCTCTCCCTTAACAAAAAAAAAAACATCAAACCAATTTTTTTTACTGAAGATTTCACTTTTTTTAAGATAAATTGACAGGCCGAGTACCCTGTAACTTTTATTCTAAACATTTTCGAACTATTTTTGTTTGAAATGTCCCTCCCTGTCTTCTATTCCACTTTGGGGCCACATTTTAAAAACACCTTGTACATCTATCGATTCAAATTAGGTAACTTTTTTTATACAGGTAAAGTTTCGGTGACAAATTTAAAGTCTTTTGTCAGAATTCCAACATTGTTATCGTTGATAGTTTGTTAACAATGAGGAGAAATCGACAAAATCCATAAAATGTTTTTGTTGAAAAAATCCATGGGGTTGCAAGTGGGGAAATGAAACGGCGAAATTATGAAAAATGGCACATAGTATATTATGTACGTATTGTATATTACATATAGTTGATAATCATTCTTATGTCATAGTCTAGCTGTTTAAACCTAACTTAATCTTTCCTCATCACTCGATATTTATTTTTTCATATATACCTTTTTATATACTTAAAAACACATCCGCTTTAAACGTTTATACAGGCTTAAGGTAAGCTTTACAAATTTGTCCTAATCACTTAGTAACCACATACTCGGTCTTAAAAGTTACAAATTGTCCAATAACTACAAAAATATATAATATAAAATGTTCGCAACACTTTTACAGAATTCGTAGGGCAACAATCGCTGTAACTTTTAAGAGAAGTCGCAAGGAAAATATAAATATATCTGCACCAACACTGGTAAAACTCCCAAGGAAATACACGGCTGCCAACTCGGACAAACGAAACTTGAGAATGAAGGAAAAAAAAAACGTAGAATTTTGTGCCGAAAACTTTCAGTGCTTTTTCTCGCTGCCAATATTTCAGAATAGCGGCCGGCTCATGGAATGAAATAAACACTGGGTACCGATGGATTACGAGAAAATATACTATGCTGAACATTATTGCGTGTAAAAAAAACTTACAAATCGATAAATTTTCATCATACAACAAAATAATACCTATTTTAATTACAACAACTGGGCGTGTCGTTCGACTCGATCCTTCCATCGCGGCACAATCCAAACAAAAATAATATCTAGGCAGTTATTGTCATTTTAATTAAAATACATTGAAATTACTTCTGCGGCGATTACTAATTTACGTTTCTACATTTTATTATTTACACACTCTTGAGCATTCATAGATTCAAAATATGCGTGGCTTAGTAGGCGGAAAAGCATGCACGACAGCTCTGTTATTATTCGAGACACAAAAAAATGTTTGAATAAAGATCGGAGGGAATTAAAAAAAAACTATATGTTAATATTATAGTTAACCAATTATTCCAGAATTGTGATATATTCAGTTTTTTATACGGGACGTTTTCTACAGACATGCAACTGCACGAATTCTAAACTCCACATTTTCTTCAATTTTAAGTGCTACACCCTGTACTTTAGTGTCTCATTTTGTATACTTTTTATCCTTTTTAACATGTATTCAATTATTTCTATAACGTTTTTGCTAATTTTGAAGATATTTATTCATTTTATTACAAATAAATTAGCAGATATAAATAGAAATACCTTCACAAAACTTAAGGATTTTATTCCCCTTATTTGACACAAAACAGGACACTTAAATGTAGGATTCGGTTTGAAAAATTAGAGGAAATGTCGTTTGAAATACGCGAAATTGGCAGGTCTGCAGAAAACACCTTATATAATATAATAAACGTCAATATCTCAACTTTTGTCCGTCACACTGTCGAATATTTTGGTCACTATTACCATTTAAAATTATTTACAATTTTTAAAGAATTTTCAAAATTTGACAATGTTGCAACAGAACATAAAACATTTATGTCAAATTTTGTGACAAATTCAAATATTATAAGTAATATATATAAGTCTCTACCACAAAGATCCGAACCCCCTCGATAAATATCCAGGATTGGGTCCTATAAAAAATTTGGTATTCTTAGATTTGACCTTGACCGTAACTTTCAAGGTCAACTTGAAAATATTCAAGGAAATGCCCTATTTTTTGTATCAACACTTAATAGACTACCAAATTTTTTAATCTGAAGACGGGATTAGAATATTTCTCCGGTATGTCCTTGCAACTTATTTGGAGGTCAAACTCATTTTCTCCGAATAACTCGATAAAAACGATTTAAGCAAGGTTTGTAGTATTTTGAATGACAAAAGAGATGGTGACCTTGGATTTGACCTCGACTTGAAGTTTCAGGATCAGACCAAGGTCGACTTGAAAATTTTAAACGCAACCCCTGTTTTTGTCAGTAATTGATAGAGCACCTGATTTTATGTTTGAATACGAGGTTACAACATTTTTCCAGTATGTCCTGGCTGGTCATATGGAGGTCAAACTTATTTTCTTTGAATAACTCGACAAAAACGTTTAAAAAAAAATTAAATTTAGATTAGGATTATATTTCATCAAATTTTAATTATTAACCAAATTTGTTAAATTCCGAAATTGCCAAGATCATACTAATAGTTTCGGTCAAATGTATATATCAAGTTCTATTACTTTTCTTATCCATTTTTTACATGAAAAGCGAGTCTGGCATAAAATGACACGCAAGAACATCCTGAAAAAATTGCTACTATAAAAGTAGTGTATTCAATTTAATAAGTCTGACCTTGTAACAGGTGGTGAAAGTCGTTCCAAGGTCATCATTTAATTTGTCAAAATCTTATAAATTCTGCTTGAAACATTCGATCTTGTCGAGTTATTTGGAGAAAAATCCGTTTGACCTTCAAATGACCGACAAGGACATAATCAGAAAAGTTTTCTGACCCCATATTCGGACATAAAATTTGGTACTTTATTTATTACTGGCATAAAAAGTAGGTATTGGTAATTTTTTTTGATAACACCCAATCCGGAAAAGATATCGGGAAGTTCAGATCTTTTTGGGATATCCTGTACATAAAATATAAGTAGGCTCTTAAATTATTGACTGCCACATTTTCATAAATCGCCCTGTACATTTTGAAGTAATCTTAAAATATAGTATTTTTGCCCCCTCTAACATTGCATCTCAAATAATAACTGAGATACCGTAGTTTGCGCCATAAATACACCACCCTGTATAAACTATAACAAAACGCAAAATATTTGTAAAATATCAATTTTCTGATATTTTTAAAGAGAAATCTCGAATTTCAATGTACTTTAAGATCAGCATTTGCGGGTCGCATTTGAAAGAAATAATCAGTCCGGGGAAGAATCAGCGGAAAAGCTTCGCCGATTCGTTTCCAAACTGGAAATTAATTTGTTTCTGTGACCCGCAAACGGGTAACAGAGGCGGGGATACTTGAAGATTCGCGATCGAGCCGAACGACGCGCCTTACTTTGTACACATTTTTAGTTGAAGTAATTAAGGGATCTTAACAATCAAAACAAATAATATATAAATATAAATTCACTAGGCGCTAAAATAATAAACAGCTGAAAATATTACATGTTTACTTTAAAAATTCTACTTAGGCAAAAGTTACACTTAAAAAATATATAAACTTAAAATTAATATAAAAAACTGAACAAACTTTTACCAGTAAAATTAGAATGACGCGCTAAACCATTAAAGTCGCGCTGAACGCAGCGGAACGTCCCGACGGAAAGGTTTCCGCCTCGAGACGAACGAATAATTTAAAAACCTTTAGGCTCGGTTATAAATAACTTAAAAAATTCATCATGCAGAAAAGTTTTACTTTCATTTGGCATTACTTTAGGAAAGACCCATGGCTTTTAAATAAGTATATTGCGTAGACGAGAAAATCATGTCAAAATATGTACAAAAACGTAAGTAACTTTTTGTTCCGATCGTAAATACTGGCACACAAAACTCATTCAGCATTATACGTGGCTCGAGACGCCCTCAACTAGCGTCGCTGAAACAGTTTGTAAGCCAACACTGTGTATTGGCCTGGAACACAGCTTCCGTCTAACGTTAATGGCACATTTGATGTTCGTCATTAAAATTACAATCAAGCACGAATGCAAACAAAAATATAAAATTATAACCGCGAATAGCAAATAAAAAATGTTTTTTTCGGAAGTTTCTAAACTAAGAAACAAATTTGAGCAAATTAGTCATTACCTACATTTAAAAAGTCATTTCTAAATGAAATAGCAATTTGTTATCAATTAATCTACACTCTTGTGTTTAAATTGCCCGATATTCTAGAAGAAATAATGATGCTTTCAAAAAAAGTCTAGTAGTGGTGCCGATATTACTGACTTGGTTACAGACCTGTGTGGAAGTCGGTAATGCAGATTACGCACTTAGCGATCTCAACATTTCTGACAAAGGATGAAGAAACGAGGAATTATATGTTTCTTCCCCAAAAACTGCTGTCCCGATAACTAATACCTCAATCTCAATGGATTGACAACTTTGAGCACAATTAGTTCTGATATTTAGGTACATTAAAAAAATAATTGCTATTTGTTCTAATCCTATACTTTCTTCAATTACATTTTTTTGCTCTTCTAAAGGATCACAGTACAAATTAAGAATTGTTCTTCACGAAACTATGCCCTTGTACTTAATTTGTCTTGACATTTTGAACGAAATGAAGATGCTGTCAAAAAACCTCTATTAATGGTACCGATATTACCGACTTCGCGATTTTTTTAATGTTAACAACATCGGAACTAATTGTGCTCAACGTTGAAAATCCACCGAGAAATATTAATTATCGGAACGACAATTTTTGTTTGTTCATCTGTCAGAAATATTGAGGTCGTTCAATACGTAATCTGCATTACCGACCCTTGCACGCAGGTCTGTAACTAATAAAGCGAAGTCGGTAATATCGGTTCCATTAATAGCAGTTTTTTGACAGCATCTCCATTTCATTCAAAATGTCAAGACAAATTAAGTACAAGGGCATAGTTTCGTGAAAACTATTCTTACTTTGTACTGTAGTCCTGTGAGAGCAAAAAAAAACATATTTAAAGAAAGTATAGGATTAGAACAAATAGCAATTATTTTTTTAATCAAAATTGTCAATCCATCGAGATTGATGTATTAGTTATCGGGACAACAGTTTTTGGGGAAGAAACATATAATTTCTCGTTTCTTCATCCGCTGTCAGAAATGTTGAGATCGTTAAGTGTACAATCTGCATTACCGACTCTTCTGCACAGGTCTGTAACCAAGTCGGTAATATCGGTATCACTTCTAATTATCTAGTTTTATTTACCGATTAATCTAGATTGTCGTTTAAAAACTAAAAAAAAAATGGCAAAAAAGGAGATCAGAACATAATACGTATCATTCAGGTTAAATAAACCGTTTTTTAATTATTATTAGAGAGTATTCAAAGAAATTTGGCACAATGAATTAAACGATTATCCGTCTCGAGCCACATATAAAAAAAATTGAAAAACACCCGGCCGAGCGAAGACACAACATGAACGAATTTTTGTCGGTTCAAAAATTATTGAGTATTCAACGTTTGTGATTTGTCGCACGCAAACTGCTGTTGTTCCGTATTTTCATTTTTTTTTTAATTGTGTCTCCGACAAGTGTCCCCCTTAACATTAGAAACTAAAGCTGTCTCATCTAGAATTTTCCATTTACAAAATTAAGTGGAGAGAAATAAGTAATAAAAAATAAGAATATAATAATTATTATATCACTACATAATATTCTTAAAAAAATATATAATCGTTTATGCATGATGTATGATGAACATGATGATGCCGTTTTGTACGAGAGTGTATGTACAGGTAGCAAAAAAAAAATACTATCAATGCTATTGCGGCTGACCTGGATTGTGAGGCAAATTGGTGGGTGCGCCCTGAAAAAAAAACGCACAATTTTTAACTCGGTGCACAAATTAATAACAATTATCGACGATTACGTTTAGAATTTCAAATAATGCGTCGTAGGGATCCCCGTTAACTTAAAGAGATACAAAGTCGGTTAAATTAGAAGGAAATTGCGGAATTTGAAGACAATACGTCGAAGATAAATTTTACCCGTCTTTTCGTTTTGAAATTATTCATGAAAATTTTTACTTTTTTAATCTAAAACAGAAAGAGGCGTTTTTTTTAGACTGAAAAATTATTAGAACGCTTAGGGGATCGCCTAGCCGGACGTCTTGGCCAGTGGATTTCGATTTCGTAAGCATCACGGACGCAGGCTGGAATTTGGATGGGTGACCTAAGGCAGGCTCGGGGACGTGGCTGTGGCAGCATCACGGACTCAAGCTGGAATTTGGATGGGTGACCTAAGGCAGGCTCGGGGACGTGGCTGTGGCAGCCTACCAGAGACCTGGGTCGCTCAACATTTTCCACGTGCGTGTGGTCCCCGATAAATGGTAATGAGAACAGAGCAAAGAAAATCTCTGTAACTCATGACCATGCTATCATACATAAACTCTACGAGACTTTGCCACCAAGCCACCGGTGTAGTAAATAGGATGGTTTGAAGAAAAGTAGTCGAGTAATGAAGGAGGGTGTACAAGGGGCCTAATAAGGCCTAAGTGCCGCGGTGGAAAAACAATTCCACCACCCTCCGACATACATACATACTAGAACGCTTTTTTATGGATAACTCGAATACAAAGCGTTCTCAAAATTGAGGCAATGTGTAGAACTTGCAAGAAATCGATAAACACTTCTCCAATGCAATAAATTAATTTTTACCGATTCCAAGAAAAAAATTTTAAGGATCACTGAGTTTTCATTCATTGTGTATCGTTCTTGATATTTTTGGCCATTTCAAGTAGTAAAGGCCTTCTTTGTTTTTGTTTCTTTAAACATCATGTGTCACGTCACATTTGAACTAAATTATCAAACAATCGTGGTGTTGGATCTGCACTTTGCCAACACTCCCCATAAATTTAAAGCGTATCTACAAGATGCCACGATTGCACTTTGTCAACATTCCTCATAAATTAAAAGCATATCTACGTGTTGATCGTTTTCATAAATACGTGCCACGTTTTACCTCAGGTGACTCAAATTGCTTCTTTAAACACTACGTACCACAGCATATTCGAACCAAATTAAGAAATACTCGTGGTGTTGGGTGACTTCTAAACGAAAATCTTTCAACAGGCAAGCAAGATGCCACAATTGCACTATGTCAACATTCCTCATAAATTAAAAGCATATCTACATGTCGATCGTTTTCATAAATACGTGCCATTGCTTAAATACTGCGAACAGCGAAAAACTATAACAGGGAAAATTGCCATTGACAGCATTGTTCCTATTGCGGTCCTGGCATATTTACAAAATTTATTTGTCAACGTCTGTCTGCAGCGTGCACAGTCTTGCTCGATGTAACTCGTGGCAAAAATAAAATCTCTGCCCAAAAACAACTTCTAAAAGCCTTTTCTACTCGCTGTCCAACATTTTCCAAGTTAATATTCTATTTCCATAAGCTTTATTTTTTAAACGATCCTATAGAAGAAAATTATAATGATTTCGTAGACGTTCACCGTTGGACCGTTTTCAACAGTTTTTAGAATTTCTACCTTAATTTCAGACATTTCAGGTGATGTCTCTCATGTTGCTTCTTTAAAACACTCCGTATCACAACACATTTGAACCAAATTAAGAAACACTCGTGGTGTCGGGTGATTTGTTAACGAAAATCTTCCAACACACAAATGAGATGCCGTAATTGCATTTTGTCAACATTCCCCGTAAATTAAAAGCATATCTACACATTGACTGTTTTCACTGTATCATTTTCATTATAACTTCACACTTTTTCAAATGACCACAAAGAAAAAATTATACAGAACACTGATTTATTGTTCATCATTTTCGACATTTTCCAGAACTTCAATTTCTACCATTTATGGTGGTAAGGCCTTTCCAAGATAACATTCACAGTGTTGGGTGCTTTCTTAACCAAAATTTTCCGTATATAAACGAAATGCTGTAGCTGCATTTTGTCAGTGCTCCCCCCGTAAATCAAAAGTGTATCTACAAGTTCATTATTTTCATAAATGTGTGCCACTGTTTAAAAACTGAAAAACAAAAAACCGCAACCGAGAAAAATGTTATTTATAGCATTGTTTCTATTACGGTTTTGGTATTTTTACAAAAATTGGTGAAAGTTGCGTAATTTCTGACATTTTCAGCCATTTTGTGTGGCGAAGGCCTTTAGATGAGAACACCTTAGAATTAAGTTAACACAATGTTCGTAGCGTCAGATAATTTTAATAAAAATATTTCTGTGCGCAAAACAAGATGCCACAGCTGCAGTTTGTCAACACCCCTCGTAAACCAAAAGAGTGTTTATAAATCATAAGGATTGCCAAGTATTTATTGCTGGATGGTTTTCGTCATTTTCTAGAATTACTTCATTCTTTACTTCAGCCGTTTCAAGTGATACAGGCCATCCTGCATGTTCTCCTCGTTCTTTTAAAACGTTTCATGTTAGGAGGCCTTTTCATTAAGTTAACACACATTCGTTGTGCCGGGTGATTTCTTAACGTAGATTTTGCATTGTATAATTAAAATGCAGCCACTGCATTTTGTCAGCGCTTCCCCATAAATTAAAAAGCCTTCAAGTTCATTGTTTTCGTAAAAATATGTCCTCGTTTAGGAAACACAAAGAATAAAAAATCACAACCGAGAAAAGCAGACTGATAAGCGAATAATTATGACAATGTATTTGAATTCTCCATGAAAAGTGTTTGGTTTTAAATTAAAAGAATAGATAATTTTTCGTCAAAACGAAAAAAGATAACACGAAATTCAGCCGACCTAGTATCTCCAAACATAACCAAGATCCCCGCGATGCGGCTCGAGAAATGGACACCCGGCAGACAATATAAAAGCGATACTCACAGGTAATGTGGGATAATGAGGGGCAGAGAGCATATGGTGTGGTCCTGGGCCTAATTTAGGTCCGTCCTCGGCTTTTTCTTCCTCCCGTCGCTTCAGACAGGCTGCTTTTGGATTTAAATTTCGTTCTGTAAAGTAACGTACACAACAAAAATAAAAATACAAGTACATTTACATTATTCGATATCGTGCAGCACGATTTACTTTTTATTGAATAGTAATATTCCGCCCCCTCTCCCACACAAGTTCTTAAGATGTGAAAAATGAGAAGTGTCGTTTTTATTATAATGTTTTGAAGATAAACTTACAACCCTAAACAAAATCTCAAAAAAAAAAAATGATAAAAAGTGAACATAAGTTTAATTTTATTGAGTTTTAAAATTAATCGAATTCAAAACGTCAACAAATTTTTTTTTGTCTAAATTAAAGGGGTAGTGGTAATCATGTCAGACCTACCTCTAACTTGCTGTTCCAGCGTCATGATAACCTCGACAGCCATATTTAGAATACCGAGTTTAGTTTGCGGTTTGTCCGTTTTTAAATGTGCCATACACATTCTTCCTAGTTCTTTGAGAGCTTCATTTATATCACGAATACGTATCCTAAAAGCAACAGCAACACCATAAATAACACGAAAATCAATCCACGGAATGATCGTTCTCTTGTATTTAGCAAAACATATACTCGGTTAAGTTTATTGATACAGCAGCCGTCATTTATGACAAAGTTGTGCAGTAAATCACGCAAATATTGTTACTCTTCCGTCGTAAACGAGCTAAGACAATCATAAATTCAGATACTTTGTGTTATGTGGCTTAGCGTCAGTTTAGTTGTTAGGGTAATAATTATTTTCTATCACCAATTACGCAGGGTGCTAATTTAAGTGGGTGTCAGTCGTTTTAGGGTAAATACATAATCGACCTACAATTCATTTTTTAAACTGCACTTGTATTATTTTTTTCTTTTAATAAAAAATTTGTTACTATTTTTTTAAAGAACTATGTTTAGTTTGTGAATTTCGGTGTCAATAACCTTTGAATTGACCTAGTTTAGGTGAACTACTGATGAGATATGACAATAGGGCATTAGGCGAGCAACAAACAAACACTAACGTTAATGTGGCGAAACAAGAAGGCCAACTACGTTACCACTTTATTTAATTAAATTTACTTTAATTTTAGTTTATTAATTTACGAAGTTTTTGTAATTTTTCGACTTTCTGTATGTAGTATTGGTTTTTTCCGGACTCGAAATAAAATTTATACAAGGCAATCCAAAAGTCCCGGTACGCAGAAAAACTTTTGAAGAATGCATTTTGGGAAAAAATGTTTCAGACAAAATGTAAGGATTTTTCCCAGCCTATCTGATGGTGACCTTGGATTTGACCTTCAAAGTCATTTGTAGGTCAAGGTAAGTCAAATTTGGTATACGGGGGTATACCAAATTTGGCGTAAATTGGTTGATTTTTTAAAAATATTGTCTGCCATCTTGGATCCGCCATCTTATATTACGAATTTTTAAAAGCCGATTTCAGATTTGTGATCAGCGACCCCAAAAACCGAGTACTGCCGTACCGGGACTTTTGGAACTCGACACACATTTGACCTTGAAGGTCATGGCCAAGGAATTGGCCAAGGTCATAGTTAAATGTCAAATTTTCTGTTCTTTCCAAATCCGCAATAAAAAATAGCGGTTCCCATTTAAAAAACTTAACTTGACCTTCAAATGACCTTGAAGGTCAAAGTCAAGGTCAAATCCAGAGTCACCATCAGATAGCCAGGGAAAATCCTTACACTTTTGTGTAGACCATATTTCCCAAAATGCATTTTTTGAAAGTTTCTCTGCCGTACTGGGACTTTTGGAACTCGACCCACATTTGACCTTGAAGGTCATTGTCAAAGTTATGGTCAAGACCACATTTGAACGTAAAATTTCCTGCTCTTTCCAAATCCGCAATAAAAAATAGGGGTTCCCATTTAAAAAACTTAACTTCACCTTCAAATGACCTCGACGGTCAGTCAAGGTCAAATCCAAGGTCACCATCAGATAGCCAGGGAAGAATCCTTACACTTTTGTCTGAAACATTTTTACCCAAAATGCATTCTTCGAAATTTGTTCTGCCGTACTGGGACTTTTGGAGAGCCCTGTATATCGCAGTGCCGTATTTTATTTTATTGCAAAATTTAAAGTGGTATTCAGCGAAGTGGTTTGTGTAGTATTTATTTCAGTGTTTAATGACAGTACGGTGTGTTTGTGCGTATTCATCGTCAAATTTCTGTGATATGAAAAAAAAAAACATGTAAACGAATCGAGAAAACAATTTTTCTCTAAAAGTCAATCCATTCAAAGTAACACCCTATTAGCTGCTAGAAACTTCACCATAAATGACGACTGCCATATCAGAAACTGTTAGTCCCTTAACCTAAATTTTTTAACAAAAGTACTATCAACTTTGCCAAAAAAAAATTACATATGTTAAGTGATGTTATTTTTAAACGTTTTGAAAGAAACAGCATGAATATAGGCCAAAATATACTATAACCTCAAAAGAGAATTAAGAGTATCACACCTTTCCCTCGCGTTATTAGCCTGCCTCCTTTCTTTTTCCCTTTGCGCTTTGATATCTGGATCTAACTCCCCCTCCTCCGTCTCGTCCGCGCTGGAACAACTGACATAATATTTACGAACGTGCCAGGATCGTAAAAGCGGAATCGGTAAACTCCGCATGAGAATTTACAGAATCATGAATCACTTGTTTGTTTACAGTTAATCAACGTTACACAACAAAAGCAAAACGTTAACTTTAATTGACGAACTATCGTTTATTGGAGAAAATGTTTGGTTTGATGCATGATTCGTTTCACTCAAAGTGAAAAAAGGACAGCCGGCTCAGGAGAAATTGTAACCCCTATTCTTTTTTTTTGTTCTACCGAGATAAAGGGAGGTACACGTCGTGTATTTATTTCGGGTATACAGGCCCATATTCAATGTGTCTCTGCAAGAGATTTTAATTAAACAAACATCCAAAAACTACTACATGCTGGCCAAATTCGCAACGACGAATGTTACGTTACAAAAATTCCACTCATGAAGCTGGTAGATACTTTTTGACAAGCTCCTTATCAATATCAGACTGAGTCGGTATCACGTAACATTTGTATTCTGAATATGGGCCTCTAATTAACATATCAAGAGGGGATTGGGTGGTATTTAAAGGAAAACTATAAAGTTTTAGTATGAATAGAAATAGGTACAGTAAAAAATATAAATTAACGTAATTAGATAAGTATACGATTTATAAATTTGTGAAACGTTTTTTTAGTAGTCACACGAAAGTGTTTTGAATTTGACCTGCATTTTATTTATTTTTTTTTTTTGTAAAAGAGTTACAACAAAAAAGTTTTGTGTTTATCAGAACAAACTTTTTGGTTCTTGTTTTTGATATCCTTGACAGTTATACCCAAGTTACTTTCATTTTTATGCAAAAAGTCCTTTCATTTGTGGTATATAAAACACTGAAGCGAAATGATTTGTTACATTTTGTTCAGTGCAATTTTGTACACAATAATTCTATATGAATGGCCAACTTTTAACAACCCTGACCCCTTTCGATTTGGTTGAAACTTTTTTATTGTTTGCTACCCCATTGAAAACCTCTGAGAATTCTTTCAAATTTTTTCACCCAACTCAAAAAAGGTTATGAATTTTTGAAAAAAATAGCTTTTTTTTTAAAATAACCACAAGTTATCGAGGTTTTTTTTCAAAATTTTTGTTTTTAACTTTTTGAAAAAAAATTGATCAAAATTATCTGGACCTATCTTCACTGTTTTTTTTTCAATTTACGAAAAAAAAAAACGAAAATTTCTCGATTACTTACCATTTAAAATTTTTTTTTTTTCTTTTGAAAAACTATAAATCCAAATTTTTTCAGTGGTGTATTTTCATTTTCAATTTTTTTTTGATTGAAAATTTTTTTTTTTCAAATTAGCTTATTTCACATACCATTTTGAAAACTTTTGAAAATGTATATAGAATCCCAAAATTGAAAAACAATATTCTATGCAGCGATTGATGAGAATTTCAAAAAGTCAAAAGAGGATGGTTTCAAAATGACTTATTTGAGTTTAAATGTGTTGCATGTCTTTTTTTAAAGCCCACTGTTCGTCCAAAAGTGGACCTAATAACAACTTTTTTCCATTTTCTTTGTTTTTGGATGTAGTTTTCGAATAAAAATACAAAAAAATTATTCAAAATGATCATTTTTTTCTTAACTTTTTAAAAAATAGATCAAAATTCAATAAAAAAATAGGAAACGAAAAAACACCACTGAAAAAATTTGAGTATTTATAAAAAATTTCATTTTTTATAAAAAAAAAAGTCAAAAATGGTAATCAACGACATATCGTTTATTTACGAAAATTGGAAAAAAAAAACATTTGAGATAGGTCCAGATAATTTTGATCTATTTTTTTTCAAATGTACATTTAAAAATAAATATTTAAACAAAAAACGTCCCCATATATCAATTTTTTAAAAAGTTATGGTTATTTTTTTAAATTCATCTTTTTTTGAGTTGGGTGAAAAAATGAAAAAAATTCTCAGAGCGGTTTTCAACGGGGTAGAAAACAATAAAAAGCTTCAGCAAAATTGAAAGGGGTCAGGGTTAAAAGTGGTCGAATTGGCGTGGAATGCCTCGCATACATCGAAGATGTCAAAAATCTGTCAAAAACAAGTGCAAAGATGGCTGCTGTTTTAGGGAACTTTTGGCTGGCAGCAACCAGGGAGCAGCACTATCGATGTTGTCAGATATCAGAACATTTGCCACAAAAAGAGGAAATTTGTTTATTAAACCGCTGCGATAGGGTGACAAATGTAATAAACTCAATAAATAATAATGACAAGTGACGAACTACAAAATGTCAAAAGAAATATAGGAAATATAGAAATTATTTTACGATGATCTCGCTTCTCAAATTAATGATTGTGACATCACAAAAACCAAAATAATTTTTTTCAGCTGGAAAAACAATATGCATGCAGTGTTTTTTTTTAAATATAGTAAACAATGTGCAGGTCACCGTATTTATGTTTTTTTTACAAGATGTCCGGAAACTATGAGTAAAAATTTAAGTTCTTTTTTAAAATTTGTTACAATTACCATTAAACTCTATTACTAGCGGCATGCACGATGGCATCACCACATCGCCTTACATCTTTGCTGTTGGTAGAAAAAAAGCACTTACGAAGAAGCATTTTCAAAATTACTAAATATTTAAAAAAATCTTAATTAAAAGGTTCGTCTGATCCAAGTTAAAACCATTTTCAAGAAAAAATGTATTTTAGTTTTGGGGCAGCCAAAAAACAGTTAAAATTTATTTTGCAGTTAAAATGAATATAAAAAGATTTTACATAAGCATTAAAATCTGACATTTATTAATTTGTGAGCGGAAAATATAGTGGCAAATTAACGCAAAGTTTTAAATACATTTTTTCTTGGACACGATTTATGTTACGACTGGATTTGTTGAATTTTTATTAAAAATTGCAATTTTAAAGTTATGGGTGAGATATAACCTACAATTTAGTTGTCATTTTTCATTTGTCAATGGCACTTAATGCCTACTGGCACAAAGCGTTGCTTTGCACCTACTAGTAGAAAGTGACCTAACGTTTTAAACTAAACTTGGTATTATATGAAACAACTACTTTAAAGAGGCCTGTTGTCTGCAGGATAGTTATTTCCCACAATATCAATAGCTAAAAAATTAATTTCACCTTTTATAGCACCAACGGAGTAGGCCACTTCAGTTAGTAGGTACAAAACCATGCTTTCTGCTAGTAGGCATTGAGTGACATTGACATTTAAAATATAACACACTTTGTAGGTTATGATCAATTTCATAGTAAACAATGGCCATTTTAAACTGTTTAAGGTTTCAGAATTACAATGGAAACTTTTTTGTAGGTACAATTTGTTACCAATAAATGTATATACCAAATTTGAAATAAAAATCACTGAATTAAAGAGGTTATAGCAAAATGTTCATAAAAAAATAAGTTTGAGAATTCACAATTATAATGGGACTTTTTTCATAGGTGCAATTTGTTACCAATAAATGTATATACCAAATTTGAAAAAAAAATCACTGAAATACAGAGGTTATGGCAAAATGTTCATAAAAAATAAGTTTGAGGTTATGTAACTTCAGAATTATAATGGAAACTTTTTCGTAGGTGCAATTTGTTACCAATAAATGTATACCAAATTTGAAAAAAAAAATCACTAAAATAAAGAGGTTATGGCAAAATGCTCACAAAAAAAAAGTTTGAGGTTGTGTAACTTCAGAATTATAATGGAAACTTTTTTCATAGGTGCAATTTGTTACCAATAAATGTATATACCAAATTTGAAAAAAAAATCACTAAAATAAAGAGGTTATGGCAGAATGTTAATGAAAAAAAATAAGTTTGAGGTTATGTAACTGTGATAAAAAATAGACATCCAAAGTTTTTTCGCAGTAAATGAATAAATAGGAATTAGCTAGAATATTAATGTATTTTAAGAACTGAGGCTTTTTTTCTTGGTCGTCAATAAACGAATTATTTTTACGAGTGGTAAATTTTTCGCTCATAGCTTCCGGACGTTAAATAAATCTGTGAGGGCATTAAACTGGTACGGGATTAATTCGGACATAAGGGGATGTATTAAGAGACAGCGTAGGTGTTGTTATTTGTTGTTTTACATACCGTTCACGAACATTGTTGGCCTGTCTACGCTCTTTCTCGCGTACGGCCTTGTTGCTGGGGTCATCAATTTCATCCTCGTCGGCATTACTTGAAAAACTACTTAAAACAGGAATTTTTATTTCCAAGAGGACTGCGTAACAGGAGCAAAAATCGTGACATAAAACTTTCGGTTAAGTAAAAAAAAAAAATTACCACTCCAGCAATTTTTTTTTGCTACTGTTACGAGAGCAAATCTCCATCGGATTAAGTCAACGTATAATATCGTGATATTCAAATTCAATACTTACTATCTCCTTGATCGCTTGCTGGTTTTGGTTGGAGGTCCGCTCGTTGAATTTGGTTGTACTATGCTTTCTACTGAACTGGATGGTTTTGTGTCGCTGTCTGGGGGCTCTTTACGTTTTTCTGAAACGAAAACGGCGAATTATAGACTTCGGCGTAGCCGACCGAACGATATTGTCGTTTTGACGCACTCACTTGTGTTATACGTGGGTCGTTCGACTTTGACGGGATCGGGTAAGTGTGGATCGGGGGGTGGAGGTGCCGAGTAGCCGAGCTGTGGCATTTGATGCGCCGCTAAATTATTTGGAAGCTGCCCTACTAAACCTAGTTGTGATTCCGCGTGGTTCCTTAACACATTTATCGCATCGTCCAGTCTTTCTTCCATTCGAGTACCCTGCAATGGGAAACACAACTGACACGATTATGAAAACATCGATCCATCAACAGAATTGTAGAAATATACAGAATAAGCACATTTGTTATAAATATCAAGGAAATGTTAAGTTATGAAATTTTTAAAAATATGGCCAAAATGGGACAAATTTTATTAAATCTAGTAAGGTTCTGAAAAGTTCCTTTAAAAATACGTTTCATTAGCTGGAACTCTCTTGTAATATATTTTTTCCTTTATTTTGATGAGTACTGTCAACAAAGTCTGTTACGCTATTTATTGACACCCCGTATATACAGGGTGTCCCGAAATTAGGGGGCAATATTTCTAGAGGGTGTTCTATGTCGAAAAATATTACTTTTTCTTTATATAAATGTGGGTTCAAAAATTCTTCCTAAGGAAGTTATAGCCACTTGAAGGGGCCACTCTGATGATGGTTTTTTCTAAATAACTCCGAAACCCGTTGAGATAAATTCATGAAATTTGGTAACTAGCTTAACTCCGCTACTACAATGAAATTTACAAATTTTCATCACATACATTTCTACACTGGGGGGGGAGGGGGGTAAAATTTACCATAACTTTTTTATGCTTTAACTATTTTGACTTTTTGTATGCGGGAGCGCAAATGGCTCCATCTGTCGTGCGGACTCCCAACAGTGCCATTCAAATGGCTACAGTAGGAAGCGACCTGCTATATTGCAGGTAGGTACTTGTTGCACGACTGCCACCCACAGAGGGCGAAGACAATGTTTTAATTGTCAGTGTTGCGAGAAACAACTACTCCGCGAGCTATATGCCCCTACCGGCATTGAATTATAAACAAAAAATATTTTGACTTTTGACTGAAAAGTATGAAATTTCAGAATTTTCTAGTAAAAAAAAAATTCTTGGTCCATAATAGTAGAATGTACCATTTTTGTATAAAATCCGTTTAAAAATAATGTTACATGTGTACCCGGGAATCGAAATTGTCAATATTTTCTATCGTAGCGGGTTGTGAAGAACAAAAACGCGTTTGGCGTCATTTGCATTGACAGTTGTTATTTCCGTTTTGCGAATTGTTATTTTCACAGAAATTTATTATTTTTAGTAAATTATTATTTGACAAAGTAAAAAAAAAACAATTGAAGATAAAGGTTTCCGACCTAAAAAGCATACTACTATTAAAGGGGCGACTCGGTGGACTATTAATAGGAATTTTGGGAGGCATCAATAATTAGGGTCGTCATATTTTTTTTGTGTAGGCACGTGTGTAACGACATAACAAAAAATTGCAGGCCTGAAGTATATGCATTATAAAAAGAGAAGGTTTTGAAATTATTTTGTCTTGCCACATTATTTTTCTTGTCCCTGAGAAAATTAATATTTTGAAATAAGAATTTGTGTCATATTCTGCAGAAAGTAGGTAGGTAGGCCTTGAAGGCAACAAAATAAAAATATATTTTAAGGACCTGTTCTGGAAGTGAAAATAAGTAAATAAGTTCATGACATTATGGGTTCGGAAATATTTCCTTTCTGAGATAGATGTCGAAAGAAATTTAAAATCCGGTTTTTTCTAAATATCTCGAAAACGATTTAAGATATTACACTGCCACTGTACTATACACCAAAGCTCAGTGTAATATCTTAAACCGTTTTTGAAATATTTAGAAAAACGGGATTTTTTTAAATTTTACATCTATCAGAAAGGAAGCATTGCCGGGTCCATAATGTTATGGACCCGGGAACTTATTTTGACATCATTTTACAAACAATGAAAAAACAAAACAGTCTAATAATATATCCAACCACCATCCAAATCAATAAAGGTTTGTAATCTGTTTGGCATAGATATATAATTCACATCTATAGCGTTCCAAATATTTTGTATACGTTCCCAGAGCGTATCTCTATTTGGTGGAATATTGTCATACTGTTCATTCAACTGATGCATTATATACGCCCATAAATGTTTTTTTTATAAAAAGTAGTTTCCATTTTGTTTCATTCCAAAATATTGATTAGAACCCGAGTAATCACGGAAAAATTATTTTTGGGGGTGAACATAAGGGTTAATTTGCATCTGTTTAAATCCGTTTTAGGCTAAAAGAAAAAATATTAGTTATTAAGGGCTCACATATAGCTGAGCACCTAGAAGTAGGGTCATGTTTAAGATTTTTTTTCGTGTATAAAACTGCATTTTTTTTTAAAAACCATAATAAACATTTTGAAGTATGGCATTTATTATAAATTGTGTGAAAATTGGGTTCGAAAATTTTGAGTGGTAAAAAAATTGCAGTCGTTTTCCGGGGTGTGTTTTTTTCGAGAGCGTTCGCGGTACCAGACGTGCCTCCGCCATTTCTTATCTGAAAAAAAAAAAATAATTTTCTCAAAGTAGATAGACAGAACTAGTACTTATCGAGCCGGAATTTGCGAATTCAATTTTTTCGGGTCATGGCAGTCATTTGCATAAAATTGGCGGTTTTTCGCCTTAAAATTGTTGAGTAATTATAAGAAAAAAAAAAACTATGTAAAATATCGAAAAAAGGGCTCGATAAGTACTAGATTATTGTGTGAAGCATAACTTTGAAAAATTTGATCCCGATCGGTTCAGTAGTTGCGGAGATATTTCTGGTACCGATTTTGAAAATACTGTTT